AATTTCTGAAGGATCATGCGACACTTAAGACTAGAGCAAAAGCTGCTGAAAAATACACTTTGCCATCACAGAAATTATTTACTATTAATAATTAATTTTAAAATGGACTAAAATAGAAAATAGTTATGTAAAATTGTAATATTTCTCAATTATATTTATATATTTTTCCAAATAAATGCAGCCTTGGTGAGCATAAGACACTTCTTTCAAAGACATTTTTTAAAGAAATCGTATTGACCCAAAACTTTTAAACAGTAGTGTGTGTGAACTCTCCAAACAAACTCAAACAAATAAAAGTTGGGTTTCAAATCATGATAGAAATATATATATGTATTGTGCAATATGAAATATAATTTTAAAAAGTCAGTTAAACACTTACTGCATTTATTGTCCTCCATCTGAATAAAAAAAATCTATCATAAAAATAATAATAAATGCATAAATAATCAAGTAAAAAATAAATAATCTGAGATTGATTCCTTTAATGGAATACTATAAATCAACTTCCTCTTTTCAAAAGAAAATGGGAAAGCCTAGAGCTGCCAGATCAGTCATTTTTTAATTGAAAACAATTTCACTGGAAGACCTGGGAGTAAAATACTTGATCAAGGATCTGGCAAGCCAGGTGTTTTTACTTGCCATTTAGCAATGGATATGGATCAGCCTAGCCTTATTTACAGCTTCAAACCATTAGAAAAGACAGCGGCACACTCACTGTTCATCTCAAACACAGACTAACTAACTACCATAAAAAGGCAGAAGAGCAGATAATGCCTTACCTCTTATTTAAACAAACACCTCTGCCTTACTTAATCACTCAGTCCACTCACTCTCCCTCTGTGCATCATAAAACATAAGAGGCCTGACTAAGGGGACATTCAATGACCCCGTCCACACCACCATCCAACTATTGACCCTTAAATCACAGGCCCTGTGGCAAGGGAACAGGGTGGGCTGTGGGTGGCAGCAGTGGAAAGACTGACACAGTGTTACGGCAGTAAGTAATGCACATGTGGATTAGCAGTATGATGGCCTGATCAATACCGGCGGTTCCAGCCATTAGGAATGCAGCAGAAAACGACCCCCTATGGCAATAAAGCACAGTGTCCGCATGCTACTTCATTTGCTGCCTCCATTAGTGTAATGGTATCATTATCAACTGTGGCAGTATTTTTTCTAACACTCCCACCCTCCCTCGTTCCCTCGCCTGTTTTTAGGAATCAGAAGTCATGAGCTGCACTGCCTCCTTATTTTTTCTTTCTTTTTACATCACCGGATATAAATCTGCCCCTAGCGTGGCTTGAACACAGGTCTAATTATGTATTCCTGAGTGTGTTTTATGTGGCTGTCCGACACTGTTTCTCTATTATGGACTCATTAATAGGACGTAGCGTACGGTGACGAACGGAGAGGGGGAAAACGACAAGGGGGGGCAGAAAAGCTGCTGATTACGCCAAAAGTGACACCACCTCCCGCTAAAACACCAGCTTCGACATGACAGCGGCTCGGCATTAAGACCTATAAATCGTTAGTTTAACACTAATTTACAAAGGAACATTTTGTGGGAGAAATTGATTAATCAAGACTGGCTGTGTGGCCTCATAATCAGGCCTGAACTGAAGCTAGCTGTTAATTTAACAGAATTGCCAAGGGGAACACAAACCATTTTAATGAGTGTTCACGAATGAAATAGCCTAAACAGCTTTCTCTAGCAAACACACGAGCTGAGAAAGTCAATGAGCCGAGAACTCTCTGAGTGATGGGCCGGGAGGAGTGCAAGCCTCTGAACATCTGGCAACCCTCTGTACTCTGCCACTCCAAAATAATGCATTTAGTTATTTTTATTGACTAATTTTTAATCTGTTTATTTATCGACTGTTTTTTTTCACAATCAAAAGCACTATGCTTCACAGTACAAGCAGAAAATAACATCACACAGTCATCAAGCAAGGTGTCAAAAGCAGCAGCAGAGGCCAACAGAGTTGTGAGCGCGAAAAAATAAAACATGCTCAACAGATTGACGAAAAACAAGAAAGTGCTTTTCTAATTAATAACTGTGAAGAAAGAAAAACAACAGGGCCAACATTCTCCTGCAAATGCAATAAAACGGTCAAAATGGCATTTATGATTGAATAATACTTCAGTGGGATCTTTGTGGTCACCCTGGCAACGTTAAAACCAGTAACTATGATTGTCCAATGTCCCTTGATCAACTACTAAAACAGTATTTTTGGGTTGAAAGCCATGTAAGGTCACTTCTAAAAGGATGAAGTCAGTTTTTAATAGGCTATTAGCCAATAGTCTTCCTCTTTTAGTGCATGATAATGGAAGTGCTCTTTTTATCATACATATGTGCCACATATGGTTAGGAAATGCCTGGTAAAGCTGAACTAAGGATAAAAATAATTCCTTTTTGAAATGGATAGTTCACAGGCCTTCTGCTGACATCCATCCACATCCTAGTTACTGGGCACAAATGCACACGTTTATGGCTGAGACAACAATGTACTCCCTTTTATTTATTATTATGATTAAATGGAACTGCGTTTTATATTTAGGAACCGCAGGAATACACACCAGACCCTCAGTCTAGCTGATCTGTGGTTTTCTTCCCAGATCGGTTTATTTTTATGAAGAAGAGAGATAAGACGAAATGAGATGGGGCAGGGTAGCAGACCTGTCTGTCTGTCCGTCTGCTGTACAGACCCAAAACCAGCTGGATCAAGTTCTCAGGGACTCATCTGGTCACCGCGTCAGCTGCAATAAAGTGGAGGAACCACGTACTACATAGATTCCCTGCTGTCAGGCATGATCCAAAAGCATGCCGTCAGAGAGAGCAGACTAAAACTGAACAAAAAAAAAAAGAGAAAAAAGGAGTGGAAAATGAAACAGGAGGTTATAGAAAGAGAGAATTGAATAGATAGGCTGCTGACAGAACTTCTCAACTTTGCTGACTATACTACAGACAAATCAAACACAGTCATTTGAAATGCAAGCAAAATGCTGCATTATTATATGTATTTTGGTTATCAAACTAAATCCTCTTAACCACAGACAAGTTCAGAAAGTGGCATGTTAACTTGTCAAGTACAATTATAAATAAATTTCATATTTTCAAATATGCCGGCATGTTAAACATTACTTCCAGAGACCAGAGCCAAACGAGTAAAACACAATAATTGCAATACTGCATTTGCACCATATCCAAGAAAATGATTAAATTTTTCAGAGATTACTAATTTTTATTAGAGCTCAGCGTCAGAAACTAACTTCTTCATTAAAGGGACAATAATTGCTCCCGATTTTTGTGGCATTCTTTATGACATTTTTTTCCCTATCCATTAAAGTGCCCCCTATTATGCCTTTTCGAATATTACCTTTCATGCAGCGTCATAGCTGTATGTGAAAATAAAAACATGACCCATTTTTAAATACTACAAACCTAAAAGAAACTTGACACACCTAGTATGGAATAAACGCTACATGACTTCATCTTAGAAAAAAAAAACTTTTTCTTTATTTATTCCTTCCCTTTTCAAGCTTGTACTTATTTGAACAATGCCTAAAACTTGGTATTTCAAGCACTTCCTGTGTCTGTTTTAGGGATGCACGATATATCGGCCACCATATCGGTATCGGCCGATAAATGCTCATTTTTTCTGTTATCGGTATCGGCCTGATAAGAAAATTTGGCCGATATCTTAAAGCCGATAAATAATGCATTATTTCCTTCAGAGACACTTCAGATGTGCGCTGTTCGTTTGCAGCCTTTTGTGCAATTGTACGTTGTTATATTGTGTTTATTTGATGTATATCTGATTTCTCTCATATAGAATGCGTTTGGTTAAGTTAAAAAGAGCGCTTCAGTTTACCAGTGATCATCTTTAGCTCAGCGCACGCAGCTCAAACAGCAGCGCACAACATTAATAACTATGATTGGGAATGTCGTGTATATAACAATTTGGATATAGATTTATCGGCCAACATATCGGTTATCGGCTTTCAAAAATAAAGAGTAATCGGTTATCGGTATCGGCCAAAATTTTCATATCGGTGCATCCCTAGTCTGTTTGCCTCTTTAAGAAGAATCGCTTTAAATATATATATATTATATATTATATTATGTATTCCCCAATTGTAAGTCGCTTTGGATAAAAGCATCGGCAGAATAACTAAATGTAAAATGTAATAACAAAATATAAAAGGATATATTGGAAGTATAATTTCTTACCACTGCACTAGCAACACCGAGATCATAGGTTTGAATCCCAGGGAATGCATGAACCGATAAAATACATCTATACCTTGAATGCAAAAAGCTGTATGATAATAATATTTACTGTCCAAGTATCTTTTGAAGTGGCTGTGTAATAATCAGGGTTTATGCTGTGATAAAGACCACTGTATCTACTTTCAGGACCAAAAAGCTTTACACAATGATGCTTCAAAAAAATGACACTGAAAAAGTACCAGATTCGTTTAAAAACAGCTGCACCACAACAGTTGTTTCCATTACACCGTCTCTGCAAAAATTAAAAACACAACATGTCCGTTTCCTGGCTAGCTCGTGGATGAATATTTAGTTTAGTCAGAAAACAAGACACAGAAGTGAAATAAATGAGGTTTAGCAGAACCACCTGCAGAGTGACAGACACCTGGACACGCGTCCTGACTTCATTCATTACTACCATGATTGGACACGCTGTAACGCCGCCACACAAGCCACTCCAGCCACTCCAGCAAAGTCCGTGTGTGGCAGTCATGAGAAAACACTCCCCCCGCGCTGTGTCGGATGACTGTGCGCACACAGAGACAAAACTCCTCCGATAAAAGAAGGGAAACATTACAGGAGCAATCAGCAGCATCACATGCGCACTTCAAATGAACACACAGCAGCAACCAGTGCGTGCAATACCGCCACGGACACACTGAACGGTGTCTTACAAACTCCACAACTACATGTGGTGCTTGGCGATCTGAGAGAAAACTACAAGCGATACCTTTCTCCTCTTTTCCCTCTCACTGTCATCCGATCTTTTCATGTTCCTGAAGTACTGTTTACGCTGCCTCGGTTTCATAGCGCGCAGAGCTGGGTGATGTAGTCTTTAGATTGTGCCGTTAGCGTGTAAACTTTTCTTAAGCGGATTTAAATAGAATCTTAGCTATGTTTGTGATATTATATGAAACTTGTATGACAGTAAACCTGGTGTTGTCATTTTACATTGGTGTTTTATTTTAAAGTCGCTACCAGCATTCCGGTCAGGACTACATTTTCCAGAATCCTCGCGCCAGGAAAAACCACGCTTGTAATTTGAGTCAAACCGGAAGTATATACAGGCTCAGTTGTGCTGTGAGAGGTTTCTAATGGATTTTATGCATATGAGGTGCTAGACGTGATGTTAAAAGAATGATTGTTTTACCAAATCTGTAGAGTACATATTAATAATGTATGTTTATTGTTATATATTGTTATATACATTGCAGTGTTATATAATGTACTACTAGCTCATGAAGGGAATTTGCATACACGAGTAATAGAAACTCGATTTAGAATAGAGATCAGGTATCCTTTTTTAACATTTTCAGATCGAATATGAAATAAACATCACGTTGTTTTTGTTATTGGGGCCAGGCTTTCTGACATTTTCAGGAATATATAAATAAATACAATAAAACAGAAAACAAATTTAGATTTTATATATAAATATATATATCAGGGGCGTTTCCTCCGAGGAGGCAAGGTAGGTAGTGTCTCCTCAAAAAATTGGATGAGAAAATAATCGATATTACAAACATACATCGCAAATATTACTAAACATGGCATTAAACGTATAAAAGTCACTCGTTTTTATATAGTAACACTGTCAAACAGCGACACCCGCAGGTAAAGTTACAGCGGAGGCTTGCAATAGGGTCTGGCTGCAGACTTGCACTCTCAGACTTGCACTCTCAGACTTGCACTCCCGCGAGTGACGTTCCTTGCAGTTTTTTTATTTTATTTAATTGATTAATTATTTTTTTTAATTGAATCTCTCAACATTTTGAGAAGGGTCTGGCTGCAGACATGCACTTGCATTTTCAGACTTGCACTCTCACACACCTGCACTTCCACGAGTGACGTCACTTGCAGTCTTTTTTTATTTTGTTTTATTTAATTTATTAATTATTTTTTTTAATTGAATCCCTTAACATTTTACACAAGTAGCCAGGTGGTGAAGACAAGAAAAAAGAAACTAAATCACGAAGTTACTTGCAATCGCCGCTTGCACTCTCAGCTAGGCTACTTGCAATCCACACGAATCGTGCGTGTTGCCAATGGAGACAAGACGCTGTGGTGGTTAAATGATTAAAACTAATTTAGTACTATAACATACAGGATCCTGCTAGTCATCTGTAGGAGAAAAAGACAAGACCCGCAAATCCGTGGCCACAGAACAGCAGAATATGAACGCAATGCGCAAAGTCTCTCATTAAGCGCTTTTAAACCTCCGTAGAAAACCATACACTTAATAGATCAAATGTACAAATCATACTCTGAAATGATTTTCTCAAGTAGATTAAGTGGAGGCGTATGTTTCCGCAAATACCAGGGTTACGTGCATACTAGATCTCAGGTTAGATGGAGCATGGGCACATCAGGTGAGGTGATGGGTTTCTGACTAACCGCTCGACCTTAGTTTAAGTTGTACTCAGTTACGTTAACCATGTGTATGATTTCAGAGTTAAGTTGTACGTAGTTATACTAACTATCAGGGTCTAGACAAGGGGTTCTAGAAGAACCGCTGATTAATGTTTGAGCATTACATGGGTAACTGTAGGGGGCTAAACAGACCTACTATTTAAAGCATATTAAATAGTATTAGCCACAAACCTCTGGCTAAGGATCAAAAGAATTTGTGTGACATAGATTCAATGAACGAGTAAATATAAGTAAAGAGTTAACTAGAATAATCAAATGTCAGAATAGTTAGAGACGACAAACAACCAATTTGCCTTTCAACCTAAATTTGAGGTCATACTAAAATGGAGTCAGATTTCAGTTAAACCTAAATTGAATAAATCTGCGCGCTGAAAAGTCCGAACACGCAAGTAACCTTCATCCACCACTGGATACCTTCCTTGGGCCAAGTGCGTGGACCTTACATATGTATGTATGTATG